AATGGTTGCTCTGTACCTGTATAACCTTAACAAAACAGTAAGTAGGAACTTGGATTCATCTTTTCCCCCTCCATTACATGATGGTGATTGATCATCGTGAGGATATCGTTGTAAGACGGCAATGGGAGAGGAGAATCTGTATAAGACTGGTGTCTTTATAAAGGCTTTGTGTGCGTGATAAAAAATAATAGGGCCTTGCTCATCAGTGGTGAACTTTAACAGCAGTTTCGATAGTTTTTTCTACCATAATATATGTGTTTGAGAATAGTGCGTATTATATATATATATATATATATATATATATATATATATGTGCGTGTCTAGAGGTTTATATTCTTTCTTATCTCAGTAGTAGTCAACGACTGCTTTAACTGTAAGTGCACTACATGTTTACATATGTAGAAAGCAGTACGACTTTTGCAGTTACAAATATTCAAGATCATTTTTTGGTTACTTGCACTCACTGGTGAGTTTGAATTTTGCAAGAATCAACAATCAATTTTGTCCATGAGTGTACCTTTCAGAGTTATTGTCTGAATCCCGATATACATGCTAAAAGGTACAACTACCTTAAGTTTTGTCCATGAGTGTATCTTTCAGAGTTATTGTCTGAATCCCGATATACATGCTAAAAGGTACAACTTCCTTAAGTTTTGTCCATGAGTGTATCTTTCAGAGTTATTGTCTGAATCTCGATATACATGCTAAAAGGTACAACTTCCTTACGTGTTGTCCATGAATGTATATTTCAGAGTTATTGTCTGAATCCCGATATACATGCTAAAAGATGCAACTTCCTTAAGTTTTGTCCATGAGTGTATCTTTTAGAGTTATTATCTAAATCCCGATACACATGCTAAAAGGTACAACTTTCTTAAGTTTTGTCAATAAGTGTATCTTTCAGAGTTTTTATCTGGATCCCGATATACATGCTGAAAGGTACAACTTCCTTAAGTGTTGTCCATGAGTATATCTTTCAGAGTTATTGTCTGAATCCCAATATACATGCTAAAAGGTACAACTTCCTTAAGTTTTGTCCATGAGTGTAATTATATATATATATATATATATATATATATATATATATTTTTTTTTTTTCTTTTCAATTGTTCGATTTATTTCAGAAAAGATACACGCTCCCAAAATATTTTTTATGGAAAAACTTAGTTTGGAATTCTTCTGAGAAATTCTCACACAATTCGATAGTCACGCATACCCGAATTTAATTTATTTTTTTATGAGATTTTTTCATTTTATTTCGATCCCAAATATTTTTTCTCATTGTATAGTTAGAAGAGATAGAGAAAGAGAGAGATTGAGATTGAAACTGATTTATTGCAATGTCCATATAAGATAATATAAGGTTAAATACAGAATAAATATAAATATGAATAAATAAGATTATATAATGATAAATACATAAATAAATAGATATAAATGGATAAAAGTAATTAATAAATATACGTATATATATAAATATATACAGTCTTCATTGGTGGGGCCCACCGCTGGAAAGACTTCGCCACCGATGGACTGCGAGAGTTCTTTCCCACAGGGAAAGAGAGAGAGAGATTTATTAAAATATAATTATAAAAATATATATAAAATTGTTTAATATTAAAATACAAGGTATGTCCCATAAGTTCCCGGACTGGGTCCATAAAAAAAAGGTAAGATATTTTTTTTTTTTAATTATTAAAACTTTTTAAAATAATCCCCCCTTGCTTCAACGCACCAGCGCCATCGTTTCCCCAAATTGTCGAAACAGTTTTTTATAGAACTCTTTTGGAATGCTCTTCAATGCCAAAAGTGATTTTTCTATTATGTCATCCCTGGTGTCAAAATGTCTTCCTTTTAGAACTGCTTTAAGTTTGGGGAACAGGAAAAAGTCATTTGGTGCGATGTCTGGGGAATAGGGTGGTTGAGGTAGGATTTCTGTCCCGTTTTTAGCCAAAAAAACTCGTCACCAAGTGCGCTGTGTGAGGGCGGGCATTGTTATGGTGTAGGATCCAGTCACCATTAGGCCATTTTTCTGGCATTTTTTTCGAATCGCTTCCCTTAGATGGCGAAGAATGTCCAAATACATTTCCTTAATAACCGTTTGGCCTGCAGGAAGATACTCGTGATGAACAATGTCCTTGTTATCCAAAAAAGCGACCCGAAACACCTTGTTTCTGGATTTCAATATCCTGGATTTTTTTGGTCTAGGCTCACCCTGACCTCTCCACTCGGCATATTGATGCTTGGTTTCAGGGTCATAGTCATAGACCCATGTCTCGTCGCCTGTGATTATCTTGTCTTTCCATTCCGGATCCGTTCTTGTCATTTCCTACATGTTCTCACAGGTTGCAAGCCGACACAGGTTTTGCTCATTAGTGAGGAATCTTGGGATGAATTTTGCAGGAGTCTTTTTGAGCTTCAAATCTTTGGTTACGATCCTTCCAATCGTTGTTTTAGAGATGCCTGTGTCTTGCTCTAGCTCCAGCAAAGTGGTTCGAGGATTTTCTTTTATCAAATCGGTGATTTTTTGCACATTTTGGGCGTCCTTGCCGAGGTTCATCTTCAATGGAAATTCTGCCCGCTTTAAATCTAGAATGCCATTCAAAAACAGTTGTTCTCTTTGGAGAGTCATTGGGGAATACTTTATTAAGCATTTCAAAAGTTTCGGTTGCAGATATTTGAAGTTTCACACAAAATTCTATGCAAATCCTCTGCTTCAATTTTTGTTCCATCGTAAAATCGCCGCAGCGCTAGGTGTGACCTTTAAATAAATTAGAATGACCTTGGCGCGCGCTAATGTACCGCCTCGATATTGGTACCACCGTGTTGCCTGATATTTTTTCTATAATAAACAGTCAAATTTATTTACATTTTTCATTCATTTATTTTTTTATGGACCCAGTCCGGGAACTTATGGGACATACCTTGTATATATAAAAATGTATAAAATCGATATTTTTCTTAGGAATTGATTATCTCAAGACATTTTAATTCCATGCCTTCTCTAATGAAATAACTTGTTTATAACAAGTATTATTTGAAATGTGTTTACTTTTGAAAATATCTTCAATTATATTATCTCTACAGATCTTACTACTGAGAAGGTTCACTACTGATTAACCAAACCCTCTCATTCAATAACTTATATCATTGCAGTAAGGTCTGTAGAGATAATATTGTTGCGTTGGTGGTTGACAAAGAATAACTTCCGTGGGTACAAATGATCTTTTGGACTTTATTTAAGTCTAATCGATAAAATAATTACAGAAGAGTGAAAAAAATAAAACAACAATAAAGTAAAACAGCAGTTACAAACTAACCAACTGCAGCACGGTGAGGGAAAGCAGGAGCAGAACAGGAGACAGAAGTTGGTGGAACCTTCCAGAATCTTCCTAGAAGTACACCGGCGTCTGCTTGAGACAGCAGCTTGCTTGGAATACACCACATAGCTTCGTTCTTCGACTCCCTTGCATGAGTTCCTCATCCCTATATATCCCGGAGTAGATCTTTTCAGAAAAGTCATGGTTGGTTAGCCAATCAGAAAGCCGCCTGCGCTTAACATTGCGTTACTGATTGGCCAATCAGTTGTTCTCCGAATTTTTCTGCGTTTTTCTTGAACGTTCTAAAACATTCTATTCTGGAATGCGCCATTTTAATAATATTATT